TCCAGCACCACAGCTCAAAGGCATCAATTCTCCTTCTAAATTTTAGCTATAGGAAACTCATCTCAACCATAAAGAAATAGGTCATTTGAAAGGAAAAGAATATGAAAAGTAGTATTTTAACAATAATTTTTATAAATCAGGAGTAGTTATATTAGTATCAGACAAAGTAGACTAAGACCAGAGCAAGGAACAAAGAATCACGCCACCAAAAAGTCTCAGCACTGTTAAATGTAAATGTCAAATGACAGACATTGTCAACGGAATGTCAGTCAGACAACTACAAAGTATGTGAAACAAAAACAGAGCTAAAAAAAAAAAAACTAAAAAAAAAAAAAAACAGAGCTAAAAGGAAAATCAAACAAATCCATAGTTGTTGATTTCTACATGTTATTAGACTAAATATTTGTGCAGATAAATAAGAATTTACTCAAACAACAAAATCTAATTGACATTTTGTAACATAAGGAGAATACACAGACATATGAGAATCCATGACACATTCACCAGCTTATATCCTGCCTCACTAAATTTTCAAAATTGATACGATCTGGATGCCCCACTGGAGAAGGAGGGTCTGTCTCCTGTGCCAGGCAGATCCAGTTCAACTGGCATACAACAAGTGTGAAAAAAAAAATAAAATTCGTAAGATCCAAATATGTTCTCTGAAGATAGATAATGTAACTAAGTAGTTGTTGGTAGATGCCCCAAGCTGACTGTGACTCAGAGAGTGTCCACAACAGAGCAGAGTACTGCTCCCTCAGACTTCATATCCACTACTCTGTATGAGACCGTCGTTAGAAACCGTACAAAGACTGTCATGAAAATTAACACGGTACACATCTCAATAATCCATGCTCGTATTTCATAACAAGGTCATGGTCATACACTCACTCTTCATGTCAGTAGAGTATGACGTATCAGAGTTAATGTAGGAATGCACTAGTGGTTCAATGATTAAGGTCACTTCCCTGTTAACCACAGGTCAGTGGTTCAAACTCAGTAACCATTCTGTCAGGGTAAGATGTTGCTGTGTGTGTCTATGAGGATATAGCATTGGAATCTCTGTGGGGCACTTGTGCTGTGTTCTGTGGGAAATTTAGGAGATGGGGTTAGAATTATGCAAAGTGTCAACACTGAGAGAGGCAAAGTGAAGGACATGGCGGTGCATAATGTTCTGCAACAAAAGGTTGGTGGTTCAAGTCCAGGGAAAGATGAGCCTTCTCCACTTGCAAAACTTGGAGCCTTTTAAATCTGCCGCCTGTGGGTTAAAGTCTACGTTATGGCTTGGTTTATCTTCTGCCAATTTTGTCTCGTCCTCCCCTCTCCCCACAAAATGTATGTAACCGTTGTTTGATTTCATCATGATCCTTCCATAAGGTTTGTTTAAATGCCTCTAGAAGTACTTTATTTGTGATGAAAATATAATTTCTCCTCCCAGCCTCTGTTGTGGACATGTGGTTCTACACTATCTCCTCTACCCCCTATAATACTTTGACATTGTTCTTTCTGTGGCATTCATTAAAGAATTCTTCATGGTTCCCCTCCCCCCCTTCTCTCTGATTCAGGGATTCCAGTGATACCTGATTTGCTATTAGGCTTCTGGATCCTCTCAGTCTGTTACTTCTAGAAACAATGATGTGTTGACATAACTTTCACATTAGCATATGTAAAAATATGTATCTTAAGCTCTGTTTCTAGAAGCTGAGTTCCTGGGTTGTAATTTATCTGTTTTCTTTGCCCCGCACATGGGTTGTGCCAGTCCACACACCTACCAGTGGTGGAGCTCCCCATATTGTCCCTGACAGTTATTTTCAAACTTAAGGGCTTTTGAAAATAGGTTAAATATGGCATCTCCATGTGGTTTTATTTTCATTTCTCTTCCTATACTCAAGATTGGACTTCTTTTCATATTTATAGTGGTTACTTTCTTTGAACTTACGCTAGTGTTCCTTGGTCCATTTATCTGGTGGATTCTTGGCCATTTTGTTGTTTGATTTGTAGCACTTCTTTATATGATTTTAATATAAACTTTTCTAATAAGCTAGTTGTCTCTTATAGGAATTTCACTCCCCACACCCACACACACACACACACACACACACATACCTTTTTCATTTGCCCTTTTGCTTTTCTTAAAGTTTTTGGAGAGAATTTTTGGTTTGGGACATTTTGTTTTTAGCCACACTTGGAGTTTTTCATATTCAAAAGTTTTGTGGCTTCCGGATTTCATGGCCTAGTTAAATATTTCCCTTCAAGGTGGAATTTTAATACTTTTAGGTGTAATCTTTCAGAAAGCACGACTTGCTGACAGTGGCATTGTTGGGCACAGCTTGGGCCGCGGACAGCAGTGCTGGCCCTTGGTAACTGCTGTGTTTCATGGGTCCCCTCAGCTTTGTTGGGAATCTGGGTCACTGTGAGAACTGGATCAGTGTAATCTCACATCCTTCATAAAATGGTGCTTTACAGGGAAAGGAAGTGAAGGGAGGACGTTGGCTGATCTTCTGGCCCTAACTCCACCTCTCCAAAGCCTTTATTCCAAGAGATAGACTTTGCTAGAGGAGGTCTTTGTCCTTTGTATGTTCCAGATAGTGATTGGGTGACAGAACCCCTTTACTGGTCTCCAGGGAAGGGAAACTAAAGTTCAAGAGCCGTTTTTTTTTCATTGATCATTTGTGTAAACTCCATTTAGGTTGCTTCTCCACAGGGACAGGCTCCCTGATGGCTGGAATCTAAAACTCTCCTCCTTTCCAATGAGGAGAACTTGGGAGTCCTGTCCACGTTTCAGCAGCAGCAGCCCTGCGCGTTTATTCAGATGGCAGTGCTACTGTGTAGTGTGTGTCTGCTCTGCTTGCCTTTTTTGAGCTAGGTATGAAGGACAATTGCTGAGCATAATTCTTTCCCCTCAATCTTTTTGGTATAGCCAAGCCAGAGGAAGGGCGGCCTCCTGTGAGTGTGACCGGAAATGACATCACTGCCCCTCCAAATAAGGAGCTCCCACCAAGCCCAGAGAAGAAAACAAAGGTAGGTGCCTGAGTGGTGGGGCATCTTCTGACAACTCGAATTTTTAAAAACATACTATCTTCTGCTACTGCTTGAGTCGTGAATGAAATTTCTTTTTTCTGAGCTGTAGTAGGTCTTTTCTCAAGTTTGAATCACCTCAGCAAATATTTTATACTCCTGATCAAAAATATAGATATCTCCTAACCTGCACCTTAAAAATCTCTGCCAGTGAGCCTATTATCTTGAATACTTGTCGATAAGCTCTGCTGCTGAAGCTGAGTTTGCTTCCCTTTAAGAAAAAGGGTGATTGAAGAGCTATTCTGAAATTTATTCTGAAATCCATATTCATGAAAAAGGAAGGCAGATCTTTAAGATGGATTGCGGCTTGAGACAGTATTTTGTACTTCAAATGCCACTTTTTCGTGTGGTCTTAAAACCACAGGACGTTACTATTGCCCCAGTGAGGCACAAGTAATAATAGGTTAATTACCTACTGAAGTCTAGGATTTGCTTTGGGTTTTTTGTTGGCTTTTTTTTTCTTTACACATTTAGTGTAGCCACCAAAAGTTAAACTTTTAAAATTTAAGTCATTTAAAGCTATTAGTCATTTTAAATCTTGAAATGCCAAACTACAGGGACACTGCTATTAAGAAATATTCTGTAAATCTCTTATTATTCTCTTGATTTCATCCTACTGTTTACTGAACTCAGAAGAAAGAAGTGCTAATTTTCAGTTGCATCTATCCTCATTGCTTATATTTTTACTTTGAATTGTGCAATTTATGCCTTTTTTTTTAATTTTCTTTTTATTCTTGTTTGTGTGTTTGATGTTGACCTTTTAAAAATAAAACCACCACCAAAAAACCAACCAACAAATCAACTTAAAGCCTTTGGCCACCATTCATCCTGCAAAGACTTCAACATCGAAAACCAAAGCACAGTCCGCTCCTAGCCCTAAACAGCTGGCACCCACCACCCCTGGTGGGTCAAATAAAAAACCCATGAGCCTTGCTTCCGGCTCAGTGCCAGCTGCCCCTCCCAAACGCCCTGCTGCTGCTCCTGCCCGGCCTTCCACCTTATCGTCAAGAGACGGGAAGCCAAAGGTAAGCAGTCACCTGTGTACTGTCCCGAGAAGGCTCTCCTCTCTGAGGCCACGTGAACAGGCTTTGTAACTGTTGAAATTGGAAGGAGGTAAAGGAAAGGATGGTTGGCGTTCATGTGGGGGCAGCCACACAGCAGAGCCCTTTTCTACCTTTTTCCCTTCCCTGCCCTGTTTAGTGGCACTGTTCTGTCTCGTTTCTCCTCCTAACTCTTCCCTAAATTCTTCACCTGTTTAAATGCTTACTCTTAGTCCCCATACTATGAAAATTTGGGGATGATTTCCACACCGGATTCATTTCTTTGTCTTCCTCTTCATTCTTGCTGTGTACGTGAGTTTTACCCATTCCTGTTGCTTTTCCCGTTTGTCTCAGCCAGCGTCCGGCGTCACATGATTGCCTTTAGTTTTGGTAGTAGACTCCTCTGAGTGGGCTCTTTCTGAAGTTTCCTGGCTTTCTAGGTCACCCACACTTTTCCTTGTTGCCCAGAAACGAGTCCCACTTGGAGCAGCATTAGCTTTACGGGATTGTTCCAGGAGGGGATGGTGAGCGAGGCTGTGGCTGCTTTCCATAATAGCTGTCCCAGATTTGTCTTCTTGCTTTATTGAAGGACCTTTATTGTTCTTGTTAGGTACTGTTCAGTCGACTCCAGTTCATGGTGACCCCCTGAACAGTTCATCCGGACCCTGTGCCGTCTTGACGCTCTCTGCTATGCTCAAGTCCACTGTCACAGACACTCTCGGTCCATCTTTTCAGTGGTCCTCCTTTCTTTCTCCGACCCTCCACCTTTCCCAACCTCATGTCTTTTCCCAGGGACTGGCCCCTCCTGACAGTATGTGAGGTGAAGTGGCACCATCCTTGCCTCTAAAGGGCATGTTGATTGTACTCCTTCAAGACAGATTTGTTTGCTCTTTCTACAGTCAATGGAATATCCAATATTCTTCCCCCAAAATACAAAGGCATCATTTTTTCTTCTACCTTTTCATTGTCTAACTTGCACATGTATATAAAGCAATTGAAAAGCATAGTTTATACCAGGTATACCTTAATCTTTAAACTGATATCCTTGCTCTTTACCACTTTAAAGAGGTCCTTGATATTGACTTTTTCCAATGAAACACATCTTTAGATTTCTTGACCACTTATAATGAATGATGGATAAAACTGAGGACAATGAGAATCTCAGAACACTTAATTGTATATGTACATGGAACTTGTATGTGAATCAAGATTTAATGGAACAGAACAGTGGGATTCTGCATGGTTTAAAATCAGGAAAGTGTGTGTCAGAATTGTTTACCTTTTTCATACCTAGTCAATCTGTATGCTGAGCAAATAGCTATGGATGCCTCAGATTGGCCTAATGTTTCTTCTTAATTCTTTTCTTGGGAGATAGTTTCCCAAATTAAAATTTCAATGTTTTAACTTGATCTTAACTGAACTAATGGCACCTGGGAATGTAGTCAGGGCTGAAACCCTGCCCAAAGAACTGAGAAATTATGTGGACTAGGAATGATGGCATCGCCTAAAGGTTTCTAGCCAATGCTCTTTTACCAAGGCTACTTCTTTTCTTGATCCTTAGAAAGAAAGCAGTTTCTTTGAAGAAGAAGACAGAGAACACCAACAGAGGGAGGGTGACGAGAGCTACTAGTGGGGCATAGAGGGGGTGAGGGACTACAGGGAACAGCGTCACCTTGTAATACCGTTCAGTCATTCATAGGCATTTTGTAACATGAGTAACAGAACTAGAATTAATTTGTTAGTCTCTAATCGAACTCTGGCAGCGTTCAGATAGCTGATGGAGAGAGGGCAGCAGCATTACCATCTTTGCTATTGTTTGGCTTTTAGATAAGAAATAGATCAGAGCATTTTGAGAGATTGAGAGAAACTGAGATCTAATCAAATTTCTTCACATCCTTCTATAATATGTTGGGGAAAGCTTATAAAAGGAAAAGATTCTTGTTCTATGCCAGAATCATAGATCTGTGATTCTGGCATAGAACAAAGTAGAACTGGAAAGCATCAGTGACTCTACTTAGAAGAGATGTTGGCTGAGAAAACTGACAGTTGAAGAGTTGCAGCCCAAGTCAGTTTTTCTAACGGTTTGTCAGTATTACTAGTACTAGTGGGCTAATGCGATCGTGCTACATTATTTTGAATCATCTTAGTAAGGAGGGTTTGAAGAGTCAGACCCCTAGAGTTTAGTCTTCACATTCTGAGGCAGTCACTTCTGTACAAAATCCTGTGGCATGTTCTCTGCAGAACCAAGCGAACCATTGCCCAGACTCCAGCTTCATGGTCCTTTCGGTCATCTCCTCCACTTGTGGTAATGGTCATCATCCGGCCTTTGCAGAGTTTATTTCACTGGAAGCCCCCCCCCTCAATCTAGAGCTCTTCGTTAACTAATTTTCCTTTTGAGGCAATATCCCGATCACCCCTAGTGTGGCAGTTTTTCTCGGAGTGAAAAGCTGGATCCCCTCGTCTGTTTGGAGGGACATGGCACATGTGCTTATCAAAGTGTGTTCTCATTCCCTGTTCCTGTGGAAACCAGCCTACATTTGTCCCGTCCCTCCTTAAATACCTGGAAGCATTTTCTGCTTTCACAGAAGAGGGATTCGTAAAGCCCAGATGCCATTCATCTACCCATTGCTTTCATGTTTTCTGTCTGCATTCTGCCCATCGCTTTGAGAGCCATGCTCACCCATCCTCACTGCAGGTCAGGCTTGTGCCTCTGCCTGCCTCCTCACGTCATTTCCATGCCATGAGAGACTTCCTGTGCCCTGGTGTATCCTCCTTTCCACACAAGGAAATAGAGCTCAGGGAGACTTGGTGATTTGCTCTGAAATACACTGTGCAAGTAGGCAAGATTGAGGCTCGAGGACAGAATTCTGACTGTGGCCCCTGCGCTCATCCATAGCCAGGGCCGTCCTGATCAGGAGTCACTGGGGGTATTTTGGGGCCCCAAAAATGACTAGTTTTGACTGAATTGAATTTTTGTTTGTTTGTTTAATGCATTGGCTTCATGGCAGTGGGTTTGGTTTGGGTTTTTTTAGGTTGTTTAGTAAATGCAGATAAATCTCTCTGATACATTATATTGTATTAAAAATAGTCTGTAGGGAGTTCTGGTGGCCTAGTGGCAAGAAGCTGCACTGCAGTCCGAGAGGAACACAGTTTGAATCCACCAGATGCTCTGCTGGAGAAGGAGGGGCGATCTCCTCCTGTACCAGTCAGATCTGATGTGACGGTACACACACACAAAATAATAAAATAAAAAATTTAAAAAAATAGTCTGTAGAGCGTTGCGCTGCTTACCCAGAGCCTGTGCCTCCCTGGCAGTTTGCATACCCCAGTGGCTCTTGGAGAAAGCTGAGCAGTCTCCTCCGTGCAGTATACAGCCTGGGAAACCCATGTGCAGGTTCAGCTAAGAGTCATCCTGGCTTGATGGCGAGGAGTCCGCCTTTTTTTGGTGGAATACACTGGTTTTTCGTATGATAGATCCTGAGGCTGTGATATTATTGGCTGTTCATTCTTAGTGGCTGTTTCTGTGTCCTGATTCTTACACAAAACCCTGTATAGCCAATTTTCCTTCTGTCTGAAAAACTTTGATCTGAGAACCTTATCTATTTTCCTGTCAGTAACTGCCCAGCCCCACAGTGCCTCTGCTCTCCGTTGCATGCCTTCATGGAAGCATCTCTGTGGCTGACCCACAGCTCTCACTCCATCTTCTCTGTTACCAGCCTGTTACAGAGGCAAAGGTTACTGAGAAGCGAACTTCGCTATCCAAGCCAGCCTCGGCCCCAGCCACCAGACCTGGCTCTAAGAGCACCCAGACGGTCCTGACGGTTTCGAAGGCTGCATCATCGAGCACTCCCACATCAGCTGTGCCAAGCAGTAGGAGCTCCCCCATGCCTCTGCACAAGAGGCCTGCTTGTGAGTATTGTCCTCCCTTCCCTCCATGGGAACTGGAGGTGAGGGAGGAAGAGCGTTAGCTTCACAGCACCCTTAGCTCCAGTCAGCCTCACAGACAGCTGTGCAGGTCGGCCTGTGAACCAGCCCTTAGTGGGGTATACTGACGATGGCAGCTAATGAGTGATCATGTAACAAGCCTAGAGGCTCTGTGCAAACCTAACAATTCTTTGTGTTCAGAATAATCTTGAGTGAAGGAGACTCCTGAACTCCCAGGTAGAATGTACCATGCCTTTCCTTTTGACCCCACAGTGTGCCATGGACTTGCATGATGACAAGAAACAGGCAGCTGAGTTCCACAGATCTGTAGTGACAACCTACTTTGAAAGCCAAGTTGTTGTTGTTGTAGTTAGGTGCCATCAAGTCGACTATGACTCATAAAGACCCTATGAACAAAAGATCTGAACCTTGTCTGTCCTGCACCATCCTCACACTTGCTGATACACAAGAGCCCATCCCAGCAGTCTGAAGCCAGGTAGAAGGCATAATATGCAGGGGTGTGGATGTCCTGTCTGGCTTTACATGCTCCAGAAGCCTCAGCATCGGTACTGAAAGGCTGCCCACTTTACTGCTCTGTTACAGAGACTTAGCACAGTTCCCTGCTCAAAGTACCTCAAAGAGGGTACTCAGAAATCTCAGCATTGATGAGACGTACAGTGGGTCAGTTTGTTAAAAGTGAATTTCTGTTGTGCAGCTGTCAAGACTGAGGGGAAACTTCCAGACGTCAAGAAGGTGGCTGCAAAGTCTGCGTCAGGTAACATTTTGTTCTCTGTAGAGCCCTGACATAAACCCCTTCTTTTCTGCATCTTTAAGGTTTCCTTTGGCTCTGATCCCCTGGTTCGTTTGTCATTTCTCACTTTTACCTTTACAGCTGACTTGAGTCGCCCAAAGAGTACCTCTGCCACTTCTGTGAAGAAAAATACCACTTCAACTGGGCCAACACCCCCAGCAGGAATGGCTCCCAGCCGAGTCAAGTCCACCCCTATGGCTCCTCGGACCTCCGTGATGGCCCCCAAAGACAAGAAGCCTGTGCCAGCCAAGCCCAGTTCCTCTGCCCTCAGTCAGAGCCGTCTGGGTACCAGTACTTCCACCCCTGATTTGAAGAATGTCCGCTCGAAGATTGGCTCCACAGAAAACATCAAACATCAGCCTGGAGGAGGCCGGGTGGGTCCCAGGAGCTTGAGGTCCTTGGCATGCTCACCCCTGCTTCTTCTCTGCCAACTCCAATCCTGTTCCCCAGGCATCTCCCAGCTGTCACACTAACCCACAGAAGAGGGAAAGTCATGACTTCTGATTCTGTTTAGACATTCAGCCTGGGCTCTATGGTCAACTTCAGGTCCTAGCAACAGGAAGAGGGCGGGCTGAGCTATCTCTTATTGGCTAAAGCTGAAAGTTGCGTCTTAGGCTTATGTTTTTGTTCAGAGGCAACAGGGTTCGTCTGCTTTTCAAAACAGAGGAGGTCTCTGAGATTGAGCAGGGATGAGGGATGCTGGAGAGAGACTATGAAACTATCTTCACTGTTTTTACTCATCACTGTGAATGTTGGAGAGGTAGAAGTGCAGTCTTCCACAGCTCAATCTCAGTGTGTTGGTAGAACCTCTGACAAAGAACTAGGGTGACCTCTTGTGGCCAGACGACTCGCTGTGAGCCTCTAATTTACTAAACAAAGAACTGCACAGTGTGCGTGTGGCAGTGGAGAGAAGGGCACCTGGCCACAGCGCTTCTCCTGAAGGATATGCCAGTTTTCTGTGCCTCAAAATTCTTAACTTTCAGCAGCTATGGGATTCACTCAGTCTGAATGGTGTCGGTGAAGGTCTTTCTGCAAATCCCTGCTCCCTCTCTGTAAGTCACTGCTCATCTCTGACATCATTCTGTAAAATTTAAGCCATCTCGACTCCCATAACCACACACACACTCTCTTAAATCGCTTTAATCCAGAGCTGATTAAAAAAAAAATCAAGGTGAGACAAAACTGCAGCAGAATCCTATTAGTACTGGAAGACACGGGTGGTCAGCTGGAATCCAGTCGCAGTGCGGACAGAAACAATGCTGCTTTGTTAAGATCCTGGCCCGGGTGTATCCGCCAGGCCTTGTGGGCTGTGATGGTGACGGCCTAGCATCTCCTGATGCTTTCATGTTGCAGAATTTACAGGTCTTGGTAGGCAAGTGCTCTGTCAGTGTGTCTGAGGGCTGCAGCGTTTTCCATCTGTTCTGCATCTTCAGGACCACAGCTGCTCTCTGGGGGCGTTTGAGAATGTCTGTGCTGATGCTCGGTGTGATTTGAAAATTATATCCTTCCCCAGCACTCTCTCAGATGACAGTGACTACCTTAGTCTTATCGGCCCTCCCTGTACCTTTTCTCTGAATGGTGCTTGTTCTCTGCCTGTGTCTCGGGACTCTGGCTTCTTGCCCCTCTCTCCTGTGATCCTCTGTTCGAGACTGTCTAGCTGAGCCCAGCCTGGGGAGGGTGTGTTTTTCTCTTGAGCAGGGGAGCCTGCTGCTGCTTCTATGCTGACCTGGACTCAAATCTGTGCTGCCTCCTCCTCTACTTGGTGTTTGGGCTCTTTTCTCCCCTTGGTTGAATTTGCCCTCCCTCCCTTTATCTCCATCCAGGCCAAAGTAGAGAAAAAAACAGAGGCAGCTGCTGCAGCTGGAAAGCCTGAACCTAATGCAGCCCCTAAAACAGCCGGCCCCACTGCCAGTCCACAGAAACAGCCTACTGGGAAAGTGAGTTCTGTCTAGACTTTTACCTTTTAAAGGTAAAAGATGGTAAAATACTCTTCCAGCCTGAACTGCTTTCCCTTCCAACACTTTCCCCCTGTTTTTATCTAGCTTTTCCTCCCTAGTGTTCCCTCTTTTGTGTTTGATGATTCAACCATGAGAAAGGAATTTCATTTGAATCCCTGAATGTTACAGAGTCAATGCAGCGACCCTTTTGCAGAGTACTGTTCAGTTGGATGAAACACGCCCCCTCCTCTTCTTGGTGACATAGACGTAGGGCTAAGTGGCATTCCTCCAGCACCTGGAGCCCTACTCCCTCAAGGGTAGCTGGAAACGTCCTCTCACAGAGCTGCTGGGTATAGAGACAGCTTCATTTGTCCTGACTTCACAGGTCTCCTCTTAGTGAAGGTGAAGCGTTAATTCCCAGCAGAAACCCACCTAGTGCATGGATTGCAGCAGTAAAGGTATTTGACCACTGCGTTTAAGACAGTGGTAAGCTAGAAATCAAATCACACTTTGAAGCCAGGCCTCTCTCGCTTGCTGTAGATACAAATACCATCTTCCCTGAGCTGTTGTTGCAGCAGCGGAGGAGGAAGGTACACTGTGGCTAGTGGGTATGGACTGTGGGTCTGTGGCTCAGAGCAGGGCATGCTGGCAAGTGGATGCTGCTTATTTATGCATCACTGACATGGTAAAGGAGGCAGGAAATGAGGTGCATGGTTAGAGTTTCTGTGGGTGGATTTCTCTGTTCTGTGGGAGGCTGCACTAATTAAAAAATGGCCTTAAGTCTGCAGCAGCAGCAGCAGGAAGCTTTTCACATGCTTGAGAATGCCCAACAAGAATTCTTTGTTCTAGACCCTTCTAGTCCTCGCCTTCGTGTTGATCAATGACAGAGGGAGCCATGGCTCACATACCATGGACCTTTGAGTTACACTCCATTGTGTTCTGGCCTGGAGGCACGTGATTCAGCTTGGAAAAGTTGTATTAACACGACTAAAGTTCTGGGCTCCATGTAGCAGTGTGGCAGCTGCCCAGCCTGTGGCCGGAGCTCCCGCTGGTGTCCAAGGTTTGATGTGGGCTCGAGATTGCACACAGCAGTCCCAGCAGCCTCTCTGACTCATTTGCATTTGTATCTGAGTAATGACCCTGTCTTCCCATTGGTATCAGATCTGTGCCTCATTAGCCAGCTGCCCCCAGTGATTCTCAGAGCAGCCTTTGTTTCCAGCATTGGATCTGGCTGGCTATAACAATGCCAGGCCCCGGCTGTTGAGGCTGGTGTCCTAGGGACCCAACAAGAGGAAGCACAGGACAGCGTGTCCCAGCTCAGCACCCAAGGAACAGGGCCTTGACGGTGCTTGTGGGCCCCCCGGGCACCATCTGCTTCTGTCATTGTGTTGTTTGTCCGTCTTCACTCTCTCTGGTGCTCCTTCCGACTCCTCCTGTGCTTTCCACACCAGCTCCGCTGAAGGTGGGGGTGGAGTTCTAACTCTTGTTGGTCATCGTGGTCGTGTGTGGACTTACTGCTCTGCCCTGTGTCGGTTCTAACCAGCCCTTTCCTCTTGTGTTGTTTTTGTTTTGTTTTGTTTTTTGTTTTTTTTTCTGTTCTCTTAACATTCCAGGTCCAGATAGTCTCCAAAAAAGTGAACTACAGCCATATTCAGTCCAAGTGTGGTTCCAAGGACAATATTAAGCATGTCCCTGGAGGTGGCAATGTAAGTATGAGCTCCGGACGGGAGTGTGGAAGGCACAGCTCACTGCTGGGGAGAGGGCCTCCTGCCTGGACTGACGAGCAGTCCAGGAACTGAGAGGAGATGTAAATGCACAAAGATTTCTACACCAGGTGTTTCTGGTGAGCCCCAAACATCAGCCTGTGGCCGCCCACTTACCACCCTCTGAGCCCTGTGGTGGGAAGCTTTCGGCCCTCTAACTATATTGCATAACCGGACGAAGGGCAGTGGTCAGCAGCAGGCCTGCTAACGTGTCTCACGTCGCTCATAGGGATCAATGTGGAACCATTGCGGAGGCTCCCGCAGCAGGAGAGGTACCTGAGGATCCACAGCTCCTGGCTGGGACGTGCCCACCTCCCCTGTGTCATTGCTGCTGGTCCCTGCTCAGAGAGAAGTCCACACGTGTCCAATACTCGTCTCTGAATCCCTGTTACTGTAGAGTCAGAGAATGAATCAGTGCCTCCTCTACACTTCCTTGGCTTTTCCTTATCTTTCTGCTCCCCCCTTTCTCTTTACATTGTCCCATTTTCTAATTTTGCTCCTTTATGTATCTAGACCTTTCTCCCCTTCCCTTTTTTCTTATTTTTGTTCCTTCCCTCTTCCATGTAACAATCCTTCTGCTATTTTGTGCTCTCCCTAAAATCTGTGTCTGGGACCCGGGTGAGAGCAGCTGACAGAGCAGTCCATGTCAAAGGAGAGTTCCCTTCTGGCACGTTCTGATGGCCCAGTCGGCTCTCATTGGTAGCCAGGCCATTCTGCCCATGACTTAAAGATCCACTCCCACCCCCGGTTGTTGCACTGCAGTCCTTTCTTGCCCTACTGAAATCTCTTCCTGCACTGCATCCCTCTCCAGTCATGCCAGTGGCCTTTCCTGGTGTGTGAGCAAACTGTTCCCCCTTTGCACTTGGGGGCTCCGTAAGCAGCAGAAGTGTGCCTGGCCTACTTGGTAGTTGATGACCACTGACATTAGGGTGCCCAGAGTGTGACCAGCTGAGGTGAAGGAAGCTTTTAAAGGCAGTCAATGTCGGAGGTGGCTCAGGATGCAGCCCTAACTTTTCGTGGTTATTGGTTTGGGTGGAAACGGAATGTAAACAGGTTTTTTTAGTGCTCTCTTGTGAGTGTGACATGGAAATTAATTTCTCTGTATTGTCCAGTGTAGCAAAGTACCTTTGAAATATTGGCATCACTATTGATTACCTACTGTGGTCTTGCCACTCTGCCTCTACATGACTTCAGACAAGATTTGTTGAAGTCAAAGAGACTCTCCTTTCTAAAAAGTATTCCTGTTCTATCAGTACAACATTAGGAAGCCACTTAGAGCAGTGTTTCCAGGGGGAAAGAAGTGATTGTAGAGCAGCAGCCGCCTTGCTCGGACCGGCTTGGTACCCTAAGTAAACATGCAGTTAAAAAATACCAGGTCAGTTAATCCCTTCTGATTTTCTGACTCTAGCTCTTTGAACTTTTCATTATAATGCTTTGCTTTGTCTTCTCAGTCTGCCCTTTGAAATCTTCTGTTCATCTCCTTAAGTCCTGATTTCTTCCCTTTGCTTTGATTTCGCAGCATTCTAATTCAATATTCAGAGCCTATTCTGGCATCCATCTTGGTCTTTTATTCTCGCTTTGTTTTTTAATAACCTTTTGCATTCTCCATGATATTCTTGATATCTTCCTACAGCTCTTCTGGTCTTTGTTCATTAGTGTTCAAGGCCTCAAACCCTTTCCTGAGATGGTTTTTAAATTCAGGTGGGATAGACTCAAGGCCAAATTTTGGTTCTTGTGGATTTATTTTCATTTCCTCTAGCTTTGGTTTGGACTTGAATATGAGTAGTTAATGGTCTGTTCCACAGTCTGCACCTGGCCTAATTTTCACAGCTGGAATTGAGCTCCTCCAGTGATTCCTTCCACAGATGTAACCAATCTGATTCTTGTGTAGCCCATCAAGTGAGGTCTATGTGTTAAGTTGACATTTGTGTTTCTTATAAAAGGTATTTGAAATTAATAAATTATTGATTGTACCAAAGTAAAAAAAAATAGCGTGTTGAGGGAGCTCTGATGGCCTACTGGCAAGAAGCTGCGCTGTAATCTTGAAGGTATGCAGTTTGAATCCACCTGATGCTCTGCTGGAGAAGGAGGGTCAGTCTCTTGTACTGGTTGGATCTGATTTGATGGTACATAATAAGGGGAGGAAAAAAAAAGACCCATTAAAAATGGCATGCTTTGCAAACAGAACAGGTAAGAACAGGCCCACCCTTACCTTTCCACATCCTCATACATAAGGAGACTCGACTTCTAAGGGCCAGGAGAAGGGCAGCAGAGCTTGGAGAGCGGTGTGTTCTTTAGGCCACACAGCAGCTACTTCTGTGGCGGGGCCCAGTGCAAACTTTAGTAGCCATTCTGGTTCCGTTTCACCCTTGTGAGGATACATGTATGTAGTAGATTCTGAGAGCTCTCAGTGTCATTTCAGCAGGTTTTGCTAAGGGGACATGTGTGCTGGCCCTGGAAGGTGCACATCCTCAGCTCACAAAGCAGCGCTTGGCCCCCTGAGGCTGGAGCAGAGCAGGGGGAATGGGCCATGTCAGGAAGCAGACTGCAGCGGCCTCTGCATGTCAGACCAGAGAGATAGCTTCAGCGGTGGATGCCGTTAATCTAATGGAGCACAGCTAGGCATCTTAGAACTTAATTAGGAAATGTTCCAGCATATGCCAGAGGTAGAAGAAATAGTGAAATGAATTTGATAAGCCAGACTCCCAGTGTCAGTTATTGCTTGATGACTGTTCTTTTCTCCATGTGAAAACACCCTTCCCTGGGTGTTTGGAAGCCACACTCATGTACATTTTTTCACCTGCAGTATAACCACATAAGTCAGAAAGATAAAGACTCTTTCAAATACCTGCACACCTCTACTCAAATGTTAGACAGCTTTTCTTATTTGAATCAGGATCCAAATAAGGCTCTTAACCTGTAATTGGTAATAGTGTATGTGATTCCTTTCAATCTTCAAGTTTCTTTTCCTCCATAAGCCTTCTACCCTGCTCCCTTCCTAGCGGTTTTCCTGAATAGACTGGTTGGTTTGCCCTGGCACCTCCAGTTTTCTGATTGTATCTCCACGGTTTCATTTATCGTAGTCCTTTGCCCCTCAGTTTTCTGTGAGTTGATTCAGGGATTTTGCTTTGTTTTGTGTTGCCCTTCCATGTGGGGAGACTATTTCATAGGAAGGGCAGTTTTTCTGTCAGGCAGGTGATGTCTCGTTGCTCTGCGTCCCTCTCTGTCGGCCACCTCTGTTGGAAGCTGTTGTCATTTTCATTAGAAGTGGAGAATGGAGAGTCTCAAGCACTGTCCTTCCTTCATTCTTTTTCTTTTTTAATTAGATTCATTTATTAATCCATTCTTTTTTAAAAAAATATTTTATACTGGTTTACATACAAAGTTTATAAAATTCATATGCATTATTTCTCACTTCCTTTATTTCTTCACTGGAATAGAACTGTATTTGTGAAGTAAAACAGACCCGAGGTCCAGCGTTTACTCTTGGTTCTGTGGCGGGGAATTGCGCCCCCAATCAATGTATATTCAGGGATTGCCTACATTGTATCAGAAATTGCTTTCATGTTGAGGATATGTGAGGGATAAACTGTGCACATGAAGGAGGTGGGGGAAGACCCTTACCCTGGCTAGGGAGAATTGTAGCTTCGTTGGAAAGATGAGACAAAGTGGGCACTTTAGTTCTCACTGTCGTTTCCGCAGCACCAGCCAAGTGTTCACTGTATACGGAATCCTACGTAAATGATCATGGAGCACACCAAGCAATGACTGCGTAATTAGTGATGGTGTGAGGAGGAGAGGGGTTGAAGCTGGAGCCAGGCAAGGCTTTGGAGAAGGCAGCCTTTGAGCTGAGCCTTGAAGGAGGCAGGATGAGTGAGGTAGGGGTCCTTCTAGACTGGAGAATAGCATGAGCTGAGAGGCTCAGAGCCAAGGAGGATGGCTTTGCGCAGCTGACTGTTAGGGTGATACCGTGCCGAGCCTTATGCTGCAAGCAGGAATCAAAAAAACCAGGAGACACCACGTCTGTCCCCTTAGATATTGAATTCGTATTTGTGGATACAACTTCATTTGGAAGTAACTTTTCTTTGTTATATGTTTTTTTTTTCTTTTGTTATGTGTTAATAAGCGGTCTCACCTAAAGTAGGGTGGATCCTAAACTTAAAGACACCCACAAAGCCAACATAGGAAGGTAGACAAGGAGGCTCACTGGGAACTGGAATAGACAGGGAAAGACCTCCCCCAGAGCCACGACCTGCATTCAGACCTGGAGCTCCTGAAGTAGAAGGTTCCCTGTTCTTCACAGCCACTCCCTCTGGGTATTTCTGTTCCAGCACATGACAACATAGAAGATAGCCATTTAGCAGCACTGTGACAAACCCCACTAAAGCAGCGTGGCTGACCCACAGGCAGGGCTTCATTGGCCACTTAAAAAAAACAACCAAATCCCACAAATGATATCTTTTTCTGTTCATAATCTTAAAAAGCATTTCATTGTGTGGATTATTCGCCAAGTACAGGCCGCAGGTCACCTTGGCAGAAGACCCTGTGAGGGGCCTGCAGTTGGAAGGGCGCATGAGGCATACCTCTGCAAGGAGGGCCTGGGGTGCCCCCTCTCAGTCACAGTGCTGCTTTTCCTACTGGCTTGTGGGGGGGGGGCGCTCTTAGGAGGGTGAAGTGGCATTGAGAATGATCACTAAGCATTTGGGGGAAAGTTAGTATTCACAAAGACCATGTTTTCTGTACGTGTAGTTAGGATTTTTATTTTTCCTTTAACAAGAATACACAGTGTAGGGCGGGTGGATGAGACACATCAGCTGTGCTGGTGGAGCTGTCTAGTAAGCAGTTTTCTGGAAACGGGCTTTTCTGGAAAGCAGTTCGGCAGTGTTTTTGAAGAACCTTAAAGCAGCCCGACTCTGACTGGGTGACTGCATTTCTGGGCACGCTGCCTGTAGGAGTCATGAATTGCCAACATTTATTCCTAAAGATGTTTTTTTGCGGTCATGTTGCTAACAGTGAAAAATTGAGAATGAACTCAGTATTGGGAATGTGGTTGGGTTCATATTATAGGATAAAGTGTTATGTGGCTGTTTCATGGCAGAATTTTACAGAGAAAATGCTTTTTACAATGTGGTTTAAAGAGGATTACAAAATCGTTTAGATATGCATGGCAGTGACCTCAACCATGGTGGGGAAAGGGCGTTTAAAAGACTGGTAAGAAATATGCCAAAATGTTATTCCAGATTTTCTCTGGGCAAGAATTTTAGGGGTGAGTGTGAGGCAAAGCCAGCATTCAGGAAGACGTAGAACACTGGGAGTAACACACATGTGAAGAAGGCACGCACGCCGGCATGCAAAGGGGGCTGAGCAAGGCCTGGCCGCACTGCTGTGGCTGGAGACAGTGCTCTGAAGCTAAAGCCAGGCTGGGATGTTTCTGCTGTGGCTGGAGACGGTGGTCTGAAGCAAAAGCCAGGCTGGGATGTTGCAGAGGCTCTTTTTGACACTTGGGGAGATCACCCTGACCTTGGACAGACAAGAGGGGCTACAAAGGGAAATAATAAACTAGAACATGGAGAAGATTCTATAATGTCATAAAGATTTGGTCCTGATTATCTGTCTTTGAGGTAATCATTTCTTTGTGTTTTCCCTCAGGTTCAGATTCAAAACAAGAAAGTGGACATCTCGAAGGTCTCTTCCAAATGTGGTTCCAAGGCTAACATCAAGCACAAGCCTGGTGAGCGGCCTGACTTTGGCTGAGGAGGGTTTTGTTCCCCACTTTAATCATTCCACAGTATTCAAAGATCTGCCTCCCAGCAGCCAGAACACAGTGTAGGAGCAGCAGTCTGCACAGAGCGAGGGTCGAGATGCATCTTAGTTGGAGGAAGAATAATTAGTAAAAGTTACCCGATGGGAGAGTCAGTGAAGTTCTGGCTGAGATGAGAGGAAAGGTGTACCAAGAGGAAGGTGTGGGGAGTGTCCATTTCCAAAACGTGCATTCATGAATACTCACCACCCACTTGATGTCAGGTACCAGGAGGACCCACTCAGACCAAGGTGCCACTGGTTGATTAAGGTTTTGGAATGTACCCAGTGAACACTTTAGAATGTATCCAGTGGCATGTCAGTTGGGAAGGATGGTGGGAGACAAGGCCTTCTGATGGGACAGCTACAGACCCCCTCTCCGTAGAGCAAGGCAGTAGCACCAGTGGGAGGAGGGGATGGGAGGCAAAGGAGGCAGGGAAAAGCTGCCCTTTCCACAGCCTTAAATAGGCATTCTGTGTGTGGTGTGGCGTGTGGACCGAACCTGAGGAGGGTGGTATTTAGGATTTATTTGCCTGTCAGATTCAGGCGCAGAAGGGGCTCCCTGGTGCTGAAGCATCTCCTGCCAGGCCCATGGACAGGATCTTCTATCTGTAGCCAAGTGGCGCTTTCTTCCAGCAACATAATCTCACAGAGGCCTCTGAGCAGAGACTGCACTCAGACCTTGGCTGTGACCTCAGTAGCCTTGTGTGTCCTGATCCCTGAATCTGTAACATATTTAAGAACAGAGAATTGGCACTGAACCATTGAGGACACTGACATCTCAGAGTGTCAGACACCATAATAAGGTCAAGGCAAAGAAATACCCACCCCTTTCAGTAAAGTGTTTCAATCTGTTTTTTAAATGTATTCTGTTTGAAAGATTAAAGCTGTTTGACCCTGAACTTTTGAGGTTTCTCCCCTTTTTGTTTTATTAACAGTCCATTCAGTGTTTGGATATCAGCTACGTATTTGTATATTGCATTACATTAGCTGAAGAGTCAGCAGTTCTAATCCATCAGCCAGTCTAAGGAGAAAAAGTGGGCAGTCTCTTATTGTGACGATTTAAGCCTCAGAAACCTGATGAGGGTCCCTGGGTCAGAATTGACTTGAGTGCCTTTTTGTTTTAAGCACCTGTACCTTATTTTCAGGGGAAATTGTCTATTATTTTCAGTAATTGGAAGCCTTTTCTGTAATACAGTAACATTATATACAGTAATTCCCATTGTCCCGGTTCACACCTTAGTGTCTGGTTGTACGGTTCTTCTCTGGGGATGTCAGCTTTCCACTCTTGTGAGATACCCACTGCCCTAGTAACGCTAAGTGACTTAAAAGTCTAATTTTTGGCTGAAGTCTGTGTTGGACACATGAACACAAGAGTGTGGTGAGGTTTGCAGTGTGAGCAGAGGACGGGAGAGATCACCAGGGAAGCCAAGCTTCCGGGCCTGGGACAGGATGCCGCTCAAGGAACCAGGACATCTGGGACTCTGTGCTCTGTTCCAGAGCTTGGAACCTCATATGTCTTTTTTTTTTTGTTCCTTGTGTAGAGGTCGCCTCCTTCTCCACGGAGCCAGCGGCTCAGGGGCTGGGCCCACCTTTGCTCAGCACCTTGTCTGCCCACAGGCCCAGGGCTACCCGTGTGCAGGCCCACGACCCCCAGCTGCATCGCCCTTTCCTCCCTCTGTCTACTGTGTGATTCTGTTAAGGGGCTCAGACAGGCTGTATTCACATCCTGCCCCTTCAGTCACTAGCTCCACCAGCAGCTGGGTGATTTGGGGAGTGTTTTTTTTCCAGCCTCATTTCAGCAGCTTTAAGACAAGGACTATGACAAGATTCATGAGCACCCCATTGCCTTCTGAGTTCCCCCCCAAGACATACTGTCATTGCACGGGGGTGAGGGGCAGGCCCATTGGGGGCTCATTCTTGGGTGGGTTTACCTGAGCCTGGTTGGCTGCTGTGTGCTGGGAATCAGACAGGCCATGGAAGTGGGGTGCTGGTAACAGCCTTCCCTCTGCTGAACAGAAAGAGACTCGACTCTGAGGGAAGGTAGCCCTGTCATACCATCCGTGCTCCCGTGCCACCTCCTTGCTCCTCAGGCGCGGACCAGGGTTTCCTGTGTCTGGGTTGGGTGCACAGTCGGTGTCTGGCCAAGCTCAGATTCCTGTCCAAGTGCCTGGCTCTCCCCGCAGCTGTGTTTCTCTGTCACTTTCTGTGACCAGTTGATTCTTTTCTGATTCCAGGTGGAGGAGATGTCAAGATTGAGAGTCAGAAGTTGAACTTCAAGGAGAAGGCTCAGGCCAAGGTGGGATCGCTCGATAATGTGGGCCACCTGCCTGCGGGAGGTGCTGTGAAGGTAGTGATTGTGTCCCGGGTGGGGCTCGGGGTGGGGGACTCAGATGGCAGGGTGGGATTTGTACAGCCAGGGCTGGGGTCCCAGCAGGTGGGCACCTGTCACCGTCCCTCAGTCTCTTCAGAAGTTATGTCCTCACCTGCCATTGCTGTGTTCCCATCATCCATCCTCAGTCCTGAATGAGGCAGGAGAGGTGACACGGCCCCTGCCTGGCCACATTGTGTCCATCCAGCTGGAGCCAGGCTGCCCCGTGCCCCAAGAGCCATGGCCTGCCTGCATGGAAACCCTGAGCCAGTCTCAGCCCTTTAGGTGGGACTGTGTTGGGGTCAGCGATCACCCCAAAGCCAGGTCTACACTGAACAATTTTCCCAGCTGCCTCGTGAAGGACAGGAATGTGGTGGCTTGCTCCATGTCAGGCTCCATTCCCAGCCTGGGGCAAATGACACATCTTTGAATGCCAGGGGCAGCAGGCCTGGCATCCACCTGACTGCAGGGCCTGCCCGTAACCACCCAGCCCAGCGCTCTGGGAGAGGGTGGCAGGGCTCCCTCTCCTCCCTCCTCCCTCACTCCCTCCACAGTTCTGTGAGACCCTCTGTGTGCCAAGACACTGTCTGTCCTTTGTTCCACGGCAGTGGTGGACACGCCTCAGGCAGTGTCCAGCAGGCTTCTGACCAGGGCAACGGGGAGGGTGTGGGGCAGCTGCATCCCTCATCTGTCTTATCACCCAGCCTCATGGGACCTTGCCAGTCCTGTTGTCCTGTCCCCGGCAGCATGCCCGTCCTCCCTGCCACCTCCATTGGGCATCGGGGGCACTTGGGGTGACGAGTCTCTGTCTCAGCAAAGTTAACTCTGGTTTAGTCACTGGTCCATGACCAACAGCAAGTAATTGCAGTCCAGGACTCAAGCCCCAAATCTGATATTTTTTCTTTTTGCTGTTATTTTTATAATTCTTTTTCTAATACAACATATTCTTGATGCTGATTAACCCCATTGCAAAGCTCCCATTTTCTTCTTTTCAACTGAAGACTGACCCCTAAGGGGATCAGACATCCTGGAGCCCAGGTCTTAGGCACAGTGATTGCACAGCCCCCACCATCAGCTCTTTGGTCTGCATTTCATTGTTCACACCAAGTGTTCACTGTTCCCTGATCTCTTTGTCCTCGTTTGCAGCCTCCAGCACCCGGCTGTCACTCTGGGTCCTAGATCTTTGGTGCTTCCTGGGCTTCATTGTATCCAACCCCGTAGCCACCCTCTTGTTCCCTCCCAGTGTCAGTCCCTGAGGTGGCCTCAGTGTCTGGGCTGTGAAGCCATAGCTGACCAGGCAGAAGCCCAGACATTCCCTGAAACCACCGGGAGCGCTCAGTGTGCTCTGGGATTCTCTCAGTCAAGGAAGGCAAGCGGTCCCCACTGGGAGCTGATGCCAGGTTTCTGGGGTTCCCCCTATTCCCCAGCCAAATTCAGCCTCCCCGTTGGAGTTTGTCCTTCAGATTTGCTGCTGAATACCTGTTCTCATAGCTACTCTCTTTGGCTCTCAGCCTTTGGAGAGGTCCACACCTTTCACCTCAAAGGCTCCACAAAACCATGTATTTCACAGAGGACACTCAGAAGGTGGGCTCCCTGTCAGGGCTGCCCGGCTGAGACTAGAGCTGCCCTGGCCTGCCAGAGCTCACCGGTCAGCCGAAAGCCCCCTTGTGGAGATGCTCCTGAGTCCGGTGGGGGGAGTAGGGTGGCAGGGTGGGGGCTCCATGTAAATCCACTGTCACTCCATCCCATCCCCTCCCCACTGACCCTGCACTGTCTCCCCCACTGTTTCATTGTAGACTGAGGGCGGTAGCAGCGAGGCCCTTCCGTGTCCGGGCCCCCCTGCTGGGGAGGAGCCAGCCATCCCTGAGGCAGCGCCTGAAGCTGGCACCCCCTCTTTGGCCAGTGGCTCTAGTGGCCACACCACCCTTTCAGGGGGTGGTGACCAAAGGGAGGCCCAGACCTTGGACAGCCAGATCCAGGAGACAAGTAAGTGGCTGGGCTCAGCCTGAGGGCCAGCCAGAGGCCCTGCCACTGGCCGCCAATTGAAACTCCTTTGTTGACTAACTAGAGTGTGGCCTAAATTTTAACGAAGCAACCTTTTATTTTCCAGGCATCTAATGATGACATTCTGGTCTCGTCTTCCATCCCCTGTGTCCCCCTCTTGTCTCTCCGTTGCCCTCCCCTCCCCCTCCTCCCGTGTCACTGCAGATTGAGACCTACAGGCTGACGTTCCGGGCAAACGCCAGGGCCCGCACCGACCATGGGGCTGACATTGTCTCCCGGCCCCCTCACTTCCCCAGCGGCCCCATCGTGGGCACCCGGGCCCCTGGCTCTCTCTCCCAGGCTGCCCATTAGACACCTCACCTGACTGTGGGGGTGCTAGGCAGCAGCAACCCCCCCACACCGCTCACTCCTCCTTCATTGCCTCCCTGGCCCCTCCCTGCTTCACTCCCTTTGTTCCCTGCACTGTACCATTCACTGCTCCAGAGGAGGCTGGGGGCGGCAGAGGGGGACCCCAAATACAACCTTCTCTTTGATTTTTTGGATGGAATTTTCCTTAGTCCACCTGGAGGAGGAGTGGAAGTGGGTTCATGCAGAGAGCTCCCCAACCAGCCCCCCTATAGTCCACAAGCGCTGCCGCTCCATTAGCCCCACAGGGACACTCACACCGGAGTGCCGGCCCCCTTCCCAGGTTAGTTAGGGATCAGCGCTGCCTGCCCTGCTGCTTCCTTCCTTACCTGCCCAGCTGCTATCAGAGGTTTCTTTTACTCATTTTATCTCTTATTTGTTTCTAATAACCTAAAAATTGGTGAAGTAGTTTTGCAGATTGAGGCCATGTCTAAATGAAAGTCCTCAGTAGGTGTTGAAGGAAAGAGGGAAGAGATACGGGGAAGCCTCCCCCAGGAGGTTGTGAGGCTTGAGGGGCTGTGGCTGTCCAGCCTGTGGTCAGCCCTGCTGAGGAGGCGAGGGCTGCAGACAGCTGAGTGGGGAAGGGCAGGGGCCTGTGAACAGGTGGGGAGCTAGAGGGGCTGGTCGGAGTGTGGACTGGTTGTACTGACATTGTGTGTACGCTGCTTCTCTTCTAACCAAGAGGCTGGTTTTGGCATCTCTGTCTCATTCCCTGGGATCTGGTGGGTGATACAAGGCCAGGGCTTGGGTTAACAGGGGAGGGCCAAGGACATTCGGATCCTCCAGGCCCGCCCCCACAGGCCTCGGACCCTCAGGCCGTCCCTGAAAGAACCAAGGGTATTGTGAATGCATGTGGGTAGTGGGGAATCCAATCTGGATTTAAGTTCTAGGCATGAGATGGATGCTAGCCTGCAGAGGGGTGACTTAGCTGGGCCTGGTCTTCGGGGCTTCAGTGATGGGAAATCCCGGGGATTGTATTGACATAAAGATTCTTATTGCACTTGTATTTTTTGTATTAAAGTTTGCATGGTTTCTAATAAAGGATTAAAACCTAACAGTTTGTAGTGAAATGGCCTGGGAGTATCCATGGCTTCTCTGGAAGAGCATTTCCTGCAGTGCAGACTTGCCTCTGGGGGGGCCCCACTCCCACCCCAGCCTTGATCCCCTCTCCTGGCATCCCTTGGGGTTGGAGAAGGTTGAGGTCTTGGCATAGGTTCGGATTTATCGCTGTGTGTGATATTCCTGGGCCTGGTATTTCTTACAGTTATCCTTGGGGAGTTTTGATTATATCCACAGCTTCTGAAGCACATACCATTAAGTGCGGGTGGTGGTGCATTGTGGAAAGGGCTCAGAGGCCTAGAAAAACTTTCCTCCCCAGGACTGTACCTAGGATGCAAGAACACTAGGGCCTTGACAGCAGGAGGAAGCGGCTGGCAGGGAGGCAAGTGTCAGGCGACAAACAGGGGCAGCAGTGCCAACTGGTCTGGGTCCCAGAGGATGCTGATTGGACAGTAGGGTCCTTTCCTTTGTTTAGTCAAGGCTAGAGTGGCCCAAGCTCCTCTGAAAGGTCTAGAACCTGAGAAGGAATCCTGACAGGGCTGGGGGGCCCTGCAGCCCCTGTGCTGTGTACCAGACTGTAGCCTTTTGGGCTGGATGTTTCTGTACCTCCCAATTTGCTTGTAAGTCAGCCATTACCCTCATCAACCTGTGATCCTATTGTAAACATTTAAAACTAAATAAAGCTGCGTGATGTCCCTCCCGGCAGGCCCTGTGTGTCTTCCTTCCTCCATGTCCCCACCTCCAGCACCTGGGACGCTCCAGACCAGTCCTCTCGCAGAGGACCTATTGTGCACCTCAACCCCCCTCAGCGTTGAGTCCATGGGTGGACACGGAACCAGCTCTAATTGTGGCAGAAGCCACTGGGCAGACCCTTGAAGGTTATGGTCCAAAGGACCTTTGTTGCCTGTGGCAGACATCCCACAAACTGACCAGTGAGAAAATACATGATGACCACTCAACTCTCCAGGACAGTGACAGCTTGGACTGGCCACACATGGGGAGGGCACCACCCACAAAGGTCAGTCCAGGGGGCAGGTGACCTAACAGACTGGAGGGAGAAGGGAGCAGTAGTGTTAAAGCCCCAGGGCTGGGGAGTTATGGTGGCCTAGTGGCAAGGAGCTGCAACTACAATCCCAGAGGCACACGGTTCGAATCCACCAAATGCTCTGCCGGGGAAGGAGGGACAATCTCCTGTACCAGTCAGATCTGATTTGACGGTACACGCACACACACACAAAAGCCCCAGGGCTGGTACAGGAGCTCGGGCTCAGCAGGGTGGTCCCTAAGCCCTGTCTTCCCGAGACCCTGGGTCCATCCCCCACAGTAAGAATCTGCCTTGTCCCGTCTGTACCTTCACTTTTCCTGTTTGGGAATGGGGGCCCACAGCCTGCCGTGCTGAGGCCCTGAGAGAGGACCCCAGAGAGAGCAATGCTCACAAGGGATAAATAGAACTTTATTTTAAATAAACATATGCACTCTGTACACAACCCCAGTGAAGTGGGGTTCAGTCATCAGCTGTCTTTCGCACGTCAAAGCTGCCACAGGGTCCCCGCAGCAGTTCTGCCAGGAGGGCCAGCAGCTGCCCGTGCTCCTGCTGCACCCCAAGGGGCAGCGCAGCCAGCTCGCTGCGCAGGCTCCGCTCCACCATGCGGCCCAGGGCCCGGCGCAGCTCCCGCAGCAGCCGCACAGTGCGTGAGTCGCCCTCCAGCCTCAGCAGGTCACTGTCACTCAGTGAGATGGTGGCCCGGCGACCGTCATCTGGGAGAAGGGACAGATAAGAAGGCAGTGAGGCCTGGGCCAAGAAGGCAGAAGGGCTCCAGAAACAGGGTGGGGTCTCCAAGTACCCACCACGGATGTGGACGTCCCCATCTGTCAGCAGCAAAACAGCGAGAGGGTGGACCTGGGAGGAGTCCCGGACGAAGACACTGCCATTGGACTTGACTGCCATGAAATATGTCAGCCACCGGCTCCGTAACCGTGTGGCCTCCCTAGAGAACAGAGGGCCCAGTGAACAGAGGCCGCCTTCTGGGCCCTTCCCAGCTGCCCGGCCCAGCCCTTCCCCAACCTGTTAATGGTCGACTTGTGCAGCAGGATATTGCCAGATTTGGTCCTGTAGGTGACACTGTTGGGCTTGAACTTCCCCTGCCGAGTCACCTTGCCTTGCCTCACCTGCAAAGGTTGAGGAAAAGGTGGCTGGGGTGGGACTGGGATGGGGGTGAGGCTTAATAAGGCTGTCCAGCTCCCTGCCCCAGGAGAGCACCTGGATGAGGTTGGGGTACAACCCAGCCATCAGCACGCCCTTCACCAGCTCCTCCTCCTCACTGTACTCATTGCACTGGGCAGAGGCCAGGGTGCAGTCAGACGGCTTCCCCACCAGGAAAGCTTCGTAAATGTTTTCCGAGAACTGTTTGATGAGGCCTGAAGAGGCAAATTGTGGGGTGAACTAGAGGGCCCTGAGCACGAGCCAGCAGGAGTGGGGTGGGCAGGGAGTTAGTGACCAGGCTCTGGCCCAGCTGACCGTGGATGAAGCGCAGGCTGGGCGCGTAGAGCAGGTTCTCCTCCAGGTAGTTCTCCCGGGAGCTGCGGTCCTGCCAGCGCAGCACTTCCTCCCAGCCAGCCACAGCCCGCACAAAGGCCAGGTGGTCACTGCCACTGTCGTGACTCAACAGTGCCTTCACCTGGGAGGGCAGGAGAGGGGCCAGGGTCACAAGAAGGAATCAAGGTAGCCCCAGGACAGCAGGCAATGAGGGCAGGTAGAGAGGCCTGAGCCGGGGCAGGGTCTGACCTTGTCCACTTCCGCCCGGTTCTGCAGACTGCTGCTGAAAGGGTCCCGGGTGAGGCAGGAAACGACCACCAGCAGCGGGTGCAGGCAGCGGAAGATGGCAGCCAGCACTATGGCTTTAGCCAGCCGCGGGTCCGTGGAGATGTGAGCCAAGCGCTGCCCCAGGGTGGTCAGGTACTCTCGATGGTCCAGCACCCCTGCAACAGCTCAGCCATGAGCCTTCACCCCCGGCCACTCTGCTGCCCAGCCCAGCCCAGCCCAGCCCAGCCAAACCCTAACTCACCGATCTCCTGTAGCAAGATCACAGCTTCATCCACCGCCTTGATGTCCGGGCTGTCCACAGCCTTGGAGAGGAACTCCACTGCCTACGAGGAAAAGCCAGAGCTGGCTGTGAGCCTCCACCCACCAGCCTGCCAGCCTGTTGCAAGCCAGCCTGTGCCCAGCCCTCCCCGAGCGAGCCGCACCGTCTTCTCGGGCATGTGGATCTTGGCTTGCAGCACCAGGTTCTCCAAGGGTGTGCGCAGGATCTCCGGGACCTGGAAAGGTGCCATCTTCTCCAGGCGACTGCGTGGGAACAGGTGGTAGGCGAAGCCTGACTGGCAGCGGCCTGCCCGGCCTCGGCGCTGGATCACATTTGCTCGGGACACCCACACGGTTTCCAGACAGGACACCTGGGGAGGGGCAGGTTGGCAGCACCGTCACCACAGGCCTTCACCTCACTCAACCCGTCTCCGGTCTCACCCAGACCAGGGCACCCCACCAGTGTGGCCTGCAGACACACACAGCAAGCCCCCGGCCGATCAGAGCTGGGCCCTCCCCAGGACTTAGTATTGTTCCCCTGGGGCTGGCTATGCCTGGCTGGGGCCCCACGTGTGGCCCCACCTTGGTCTTCAGGTCGTAGCGTTCCTCCTTGTGCAGACCACTGTCCACTACGTGCACAATGTCATTAATCGTGATGGAGGTCTCAGCAATGTTGGTGGCCAAGACAATCTTGCGCACCCCAAGTGGAGGCTGCTGGAATATGGCCTTCTGGTCCATCATGGGGATGTTGGAGTGCACTGGGGGCAGCAAGATAGTGGTTAGAGCCCTGCTCCATCCAACGTGCTCACTGAGGACTGTGAGGCACAAGTCTGCAAACCATTTCGATGAAGCAGACCCAAAAAGTGGCACAGCTACAGCAGAAACCCAAACCCCAAACGTCCTAGTTAGGCTCTTGGTCCCTGAGGCACGGGGAGCCTCGTATCTGGGGTCTGTCTCCATGACGGGCTCACCTGGCAGGATGAGGTACTTGCTCTCGTGCATGGCCAGAGCCTCCTGCAGCCGCTGCTGCACTCCCTTGATCTCCTGCCAGCCTGGCAGGAAGCACAGGATTCCACCTGGAAAGGGGCCTCATGTGTGAGCCAGCTGCTCCTGGCAGACGAGTGGGGCGGGTGCAGAGGGCACACAGCGAG